CAACAACGATAAACGAGTGGAGCTGCGAAGCTGGACGGATATAGGGAATGTTCCTGAGAACGTGAAGGAGTTGCAGCAGTTCCTAGGCTTCGCCAACTACTCCAATAGGTTCGTGCCGCAGTATGCTAAGATAGCAGCGCCACTGACCAACCTACTGAAAAAGGATACGTCCTACAAATGGGATACTCCTCAACAGCAAGCCATGGAGCAGCTACAGACAGCACTGACTACAGCGCCAGTACTCATCCTACCGGATCCAGACAGAGACTACGTGGTGGAAGCAGACGCTAGTGACCAAGCAGTCGGAGCAGTACTGATGCAGCATCACGGACGCAGTTTGCAGCCCATCGCCTACCTCAGTAAGAAGTTGTTACAGTGGGAGAAGGACTTAGCTGTAAGAAAGGGATCAGGAAAGATTTGGGTAGTGAACTATGCCCCGCTCCGACAGATTCTGCTGGAGGAGTTTCACAACGTACAGTACGCGGGATATTTCGAGAGCAACAAGACGTTAGCAGGGATAGCGAAGTATTACTACTGGCCCGGGAGGGCAGCAGACGTGCAGCAGTTCGTCGCCTCATGCGACACGTGCCAGCGGATGAAAAGTAGCAAGCACAAAAAATCAGGGTTACTTCAGTCTCTACCCATACCGGAGCAGCCATGGCAGGTCGTTAGCCTCGACTTCATCACACGACTTCCTTCGACCTCACGAGGGCGTGACGCTATAGTCGTGGTGATCGACAAGTTCTCCAAAATGGGTCACTTAATCCTGACCAACACCACGGCTACAGCTGAAGCAACTGCTCGCCTCTTCTTCGACCGCATCATCACCATCCACGGCATCCCCGCTACACTCATCTCAGACAGAGACCCAAAATTCACTAGTAAGTTCTGGAGGGAACTCATGGGTTTGTTGGGGACAAAGCTTGCAATGTCTTCAGCATACCACCCCCAGACTGACGGACAGACAGAGCGACTCAATCAGGTGGTTGAACAGTTACTGCGCACCGCTTGCAAAGACGACGTCAGCCACTGGGATTCACAGTTACCGATACTTGAGTTCGCTTATAACAACGCGTCACCTGCGGCCACAGGGAAATCTCCTTTCTTCCTGTGCTATGGACGGGAACCACTTACTCCACTGCAGCCAACCACATAGGCACATGTCCAAGCCGCACACGACTTCGTCACCACCATGCAGCAGCTATGGGAGAAGACTCAGCGACGTCTCACCACGATGCAGAACTCCCAGAAGCAGTATGCCGATCGCCAGCGACGTGATCACTCAGTAGCAGTCGGAGATCGGGTGCTTCTTGACACGCGCAACTTGAACCTGTCTCACCTACCGTCCAAGCTCCGGCCTCGCTTCTGTGGTCCTTTTCGCGTTGAGGCACAAATAACACCAGTAACATTCCGCTTGCGCTTACCTACTACGTGGAAGCTTCACAATGTGAAAGTTTAAAAGGAAGAAGAGGAGGGTTGCACTAGCAAGAATGAGGATACAAATAGCAAACCCTAGAAGGGTTGTACTCGCTATAGAGCACCCCACTACAGGCTAGAGCATAATATTCTGACACACAATGCTTTCCATATTCAGCTACTGAAGCCCTACAAGGACCCCAACCAACAGTTCCAGGGACGGCAGCTACCGCCACCACCACCTGTTCTCATCCAGGATGAACCAGAGTACGACGTGGAGCGCGTTCTCACTCATCGGCACCGCGGCGGCAAGACCCTCGAGTTCCTGATACGCTGGAAGGGATACGACCCCACTGAGGACAGTTTTGAGGGCAACGCACGCCGTGCTCTCAAGGACTATCTTGTCAAGCAGGGTGTATCTCACGCCACCCAGCTTTGAGGGGGGGACGTGTGAGAGTACGATGGCTTATGCTGGCTTTGCTAGCTTGCGTGGATTTTATTATGCTATTACTCAAGCCTATTCGGTTTCCACCGAATTGCTTTCTACTGAGTTCGGGAAGGTTCTGTTCGGGACGCTTCGCGACCCTCTAAACATTCGCGTAACACCTGGGTAACTGGCCTTGTGTCGAGCCTATATATAGCCTCGTCTTGTACCCAGGTGAATCATTCAATAGAATCATCTTTCCTGAACCAGATCCTCACACAGGGCGCGCGCTTCGGGCTGGGGCGCGCGCTGGCTGGCGACGTGGGGCGCGCTACGGGCTGGGGCGCGCGCTACGGGCTGTGGCACGCGCTGGCTTGCGACGGGGCGCGCACTACGGACTGTGGCGCGCGCTGGCTGGTGACGGGGCGCGCGCTACAGGCCAGGGCGCGCGCTACGGGCTGTGACGCGTGCTGGCTGGCGACGGGGCGCGCGCTACGGGCCAGGGCGCGCGCTATGGGCTATGGCGCGCGCTGGCTGGCGACGGGGCGCGCGCTGGCTGGCGACGGGGCGCGCGCTACGGGCGGTGGCGCGCGCTATGGGCTGGGGCGCGAACTACAGGCTGTGGCGCGCACTGGTTGGTGAAGGGGCGCGCGCTACGGCTGCGGCTAGGGGGCGGGTTGGGCGCGGGCGTGCGCTAGGCGAGGGCGCGAGGTGAGGGCGCGGAGGCGCGGGCTAGGCGCGGAGGTCGCGGGCTGGGCGCTAAGGCGCGTAGGGCGCGGAGGCGCGTGCTAGGCGCGGAGGGCGCAGGCTAGGCGCGGAGGCTCGGAGGGCGCGGAGGCGCGGAGGCGCGGGCGCGCGCTAGGCTAGGCGCGATCGATAGGAGGGCCCGTGGGGCGGGCTAGGAACGGGCTAGGTGCGGGCTAGGAGCGGTTGAGAATGAACCTACTCGTGATACCATGTTAAGAGTAGCTAGCAACGGAATGATTTGATTAGGGTTGTGAAGCAATACAAATAGGAACCCTAGCAAATGTTGTAGTCACTGCTACTCACTGTAGCCCAACATGCTAAGATAACATTTGACAGGCGCGCAGCAAGGTTAGCGCGCAGCAGGGTCAGCGCGCGGTAGGGCGGCACGCAGCAGGGTAGCGTGCAGCAGGGCGGCGTGCGGGCAGGGCATAGGGCGGCGGGGCACGCAGGGCACTGGGCAGCAGGGCGCGTGCGGGCGCTGGGCAGCAGGTCGCGCGCGGGCGCTGGGCAGCGGGTAAGGGGCAGCGGGGCACGCGCGGGCGCTGGGCAGCGGGGCACGCGCGGGCAAGGGGCAGCAGGGCGCGCGTTGGCGCTGGGCAGGGCAGGAAAAAAAAAGTTGACGGGCAGGGCAGGGCAGAAGCGACGGAACGTTCGGTGGGCCCTAGGAACGATCCTACTCTAATACCATGTTAAGATAGGAAAACAGGAATGGCTAGAAAGTGGGGGTACAAGCAAGGATATGTGTGAACCCTAAAGTGTTGTACCCTATATGGGCTGCCCCACTACACCCTAGACAACTGACACATATATAGTTTGACAGCGAGGGGGGTTAAAACAAAACGCGGAACTGATTTTTACGTACCAGAATTGGCGTGGTTGTCGTCGCCCCGGTGGTTTTTAGAGAATGAGAAGAAGCGAACTAAAAGTGGAAGTCTAAGTAGGCTCTAATTACCAAGTGTGAGAGGATCGAGACTTCACTTCGATATTCAATAATGAACATGGGTACAGACACGATAGAAGGGAGGTAACACGGGTGCTACTAGAAGGTACCGAGGCTCTAGAACCAGCTGTCTTGCCCCGCCGACCTGCCCCGACAGTCCCCCAGCCTGTGTCTGTCCGTCCGAAGTTCCTGTAGTTGCACTCAAGCTTCCTCTAGGTGCAGGATCAGTGTGGTGTCTCCCACCTTCACCGCGAAGCCTGCCTCGACAGCAAAGTCTCAAAGCATGTACTTCGCAGTGTCGTGGATGACCGTGGTGACGCCGAAAAGGGGACACCACACCATGTGGTGAGGTACCATCTTGTCGTTGATTGCCTGTCCGCAAGAACACCGACATGCAAGGGCTATCTGGGGGTTAGGGAGACCAAGACGGAAAGATAAAGCCACCTGCCACTGCGCCTCCGGTATGCGCAGAGAGTCTACGTACGGCACCGTCGTCAGCCACGCACCTGCACCTACGCCCTGAAGGGATTTCAAACAGGCAAGGTGCAAGGGATCAGTGTGACGGGCATGCACTGACTCTAAGGCATGCTCCTCCAGAACACGGCTCACTCCTATGAATAGGGAATCGGGGGCAGCAGAGACACAAGAGGGCCAGGGGAGGAAGAGAGAGAAAATGTCAGGTGGGAGGCCCTCTAGCACCGTCCGCAGAGACCGATCAATCTGGTCAACATCTTCCGATGCAAAACTTTGTCGAAAAGTCTTGCCGCACGCCGGGAGGGAGCAAAGGATGGGTGTACAATGTACCTAGGAGCACGCAAAACTCACGGGGACAATGCGCTCCATGCGACGAATGCCAAAACCGCCTAGGCATAGGGGAAGGAATATCTAGTGGAGGGCTGCGCCTCGGACATCCAATCTGCAAGCCCAAGTCCCAGAAACCAGGAGCTACTGAAAAGTCTCTCCCAACCGTGCGAAACTGACAGGCACCGTTGGTGTTGCAGGGACCGTCCTCGCGAGATACTGCGGTCGTGTGCTGACGCATGGCGAGAGTAGGCGGGCCGCTGTCTGGGGCGGGTGTAGTCTTGGAAGCCATGGCAACACTCGTCCCATCCTCTGCGGACACTCAGGGAGGCTCCTCTCCGGCGTGGCGAGAGGAGAATCAGCCAAGATAGATGTATGGTTTTCTGTGTAGTCTCAGATCCAACGCAATGACGATAACCCCACTGTTGCTGCTTCTTCCCACTTGCAACCCCACCGAGATGCATGTTGTCATTTTTGCAATGAGATGAAATACCCGAGTCCTGCATATCAGCATTTATTTATCGCTAAGTCAGTCCATGCACAATGCACACACATTGCCTACACAGAGTTAAAAAAAAAAAGTATTAGCTTCAGCTTCCATATGCTTGAAGGCATGCACCAGGTCCCAACAGGATCCAGCAGGGCCGTACGAAATGCTTGTTGGAAGCAGTCCTAGTAGCTCACAACAATCCAGAGCCAGGCCGCAGCGCACCACTGTCTCACCGCACGTGCTCCACCACTCGCACCAACGCCCCCTGTGCCGCTTGGGTCGCAGCGACCCCTCCTCCCACACTCACTCCAACCACACATGCACTCCTCGCCCCTGTCGGCAGTGCTGGCAGCGCCGCTACCGCCTTGGCTGCTGGGGAGACCTGAACAGCCATGGCTGTGCCTCACACCGAGGGGAGGGGGGCGACCCACGTGCAGGCGAGGGAGAGAGGGGAGGTGGAGGAGGTGGAGGACGTGGGGGAGGAAGAGGAGGAGGAGGAGGTGGAGGGGATGGAGGGAGAGGAGGAGGAGGAGGGGGGTGAGAGGGAGACCTTGACCAACCGGAGGGGTTGAGTAGGGTTGACTACGATTAAGGGGTTTGATCTTGGCGAGAGTGTTGCTGCGAAGGGGAGGACAGGGGGGAGGAATACAGATAGGTTGGGAGGGGTTGGCGATCAACACAGTGGTAAGGGTAGTGGTGCGAATCCGGGAAGAGGCAGGTAAGAATTCAGGAGATCTTGAACTTGGTAGCAAGAGATGACCAAGCGGAGATGATGTGAGATAACGGAGGGGTTGATATGAGGGGCTGGCGAGGCTGTAGTTGGTGAGTGTGTTGCTTCCAGGGGATATAGAGACACAGTGATGTTCTAGAGTGGCACAATAATGGTGGTGCTGTTCACGTGGAGGAGATGGGCACGGTAATAGTACACACTCATGTGTACTCATGTGCACTCATGTGCACTCATGTGCACTCATGTGCACTCATGTGCACTCATGTGCACTCATGTGCACTCATGTGCACTCATGTGCACTCATGTGCACTCATGTGCACTCATGTGCACTCATGTGCACTCATGTGCACTCATGTGCACTCATGTGCACTCATGTGCACTCATGTGCACTCATGTGCACTCATGTGCACTCATGTGCACTCATGTGCACTCATGTGCACTCATGTGCACTCATGTGCACTCATGTGCACTCATGTGCACTCATGTGCACTCATGTGCACTCATGTGTACTCAAATGACACACGCACTCACGTGGAGGAGACAGAGACGGTGACGCCTCCCTTGGCTGCTCCGCCCAGCTGGGCGGCCGCAGTGGGGTAGAGCACAGGCGTGAGTGCCGAGGGGACTGCAGGGGTGCACGGGAGGGCAAAGAGAAGGCGGTTGTGAGAGTCCTCACAAGTGGACACCAGTGTGCCTCTTGGCCTCTATGTGCAGAAGCCATCATGGAGGTGGATGAAAGGGGGCACACGCGGAGAGGGGGCACACGCGGAGAGGGGGGTTCTGGAGGGGAGAGAAAAAGGCAGATGCGCACAGGGTGGCGTGTGGAGGGGTGGAATGCTGAGGGGTGGAATGCTGAGGGGTGGAATGCTGAGGGGTGGAATGCTGAGGGGTGGAATGCTGAGGGGTGGCGTGTGGAAGGGTGGAATGCTGAGGGGTGGCGTGGTGAGGGGTGGCGTGAGCAGCGGCGTGGTGAGCAGCGGCGTGGTGAGCAGCGGCGTGGTGAGCAGCGGCGTGGTGAGGGGCGTGGGGTTACAAAGCGAGGGGAGAGGGAGAGGCAGGAGGATGGGGAGGTGAGAACTTTAGCGAGCTCAGTTGTAGCCTCTTCACAGATGCTGCCACGGTGGGGCGGAGCAAGGGACTGACTGCAGCGATTGAGGGGAGGTATGCAGGGGTGTTGAGGGGTGCAGAGAGTTGTAGCCCGGTGCAGGACTGAAGTGCGGCATGGAAGGACATGACCTTCCTTTAGTTCATTACTTGATTTTCCATCCTTATTCCCTCCCTACTCAAACCCACCACACCCTACCTCCACACTCTCTCCACCTCGCCACCGGTTACCACCACTCTCCACCCCTCACCACCCGCTACCACCACTCTGCACACCAGCTCACCAGCGTAGAACGCCTTGGCTCGAGATAACGCGCCAATGCTGCTGCTCCCAGCGGCCACCACCGCAGCAGAGAAACCAATGCCGCTGGTACCGCTCGCAGGGGTCTCACTCGCGGTGTTACCTCCGGCAGTGGCACCGCCGGCAGTGCCAGTAGAAGCAGCAGCAAGGAGGGCGGCAAGGGGAGCAGCGGGGAGGGGAGGCGAGGTGGGTGCGCCAGAGCAGTGCCACACGGATGGCGCGGGCTGTGCGCAGGCGAGGGGGGGAAGGGGGACCGTGATGACGGGCTGCTGGTGTTGTCTCTGATATAAGGCGATTCGTTTGGGTGCGGTGGCTGGCCCGGTAAGCAAGAGAGTGTACCGAAGGCTGTATCTTGTGGCACTGTGGAAAAGGGCAGAGGGAGGGAGGGTGAGATGGTATCAACACAGAGTTTTAGGAAAGCAACGGAGTTGATGAAGAACACGTATGCGGACAGAGTCAAGACACCTAGTCAACTGCAGAATTGTCTGACTGCGGGTAATCGAGATGTAGGAGAGAAGGAAAGAGACGAGCACTGCCGAACTGTTGCTTACTTTCTTTGAATTAGCAGGCTGAGAGTTCCGGCTGCTGCTTGGTCTGAAAACGTCGTCACAAGGCTAACTGCCAACAAGGACAGTAATGTTGGAAACGAGTTGGGCGGCTGAGAATGAAAGCTTTGGGTGGGAGAGGTGGCGGATGGTGATGCACCACGATGGGATGGTGATGCACGCGATGATATGTATGGGCGGTGACATCGTAGCACGTTCTTGGGGATTAAGATGTTTAAAGGTTAGACAGGAACCTTACTAAGATGTTTAAAGGTTAGAAGAGGTGATGAATTTCTTATTGTTTGCAGTAAGCTCCCTGCGCAGTTCTATAGCAAGGTTCGACACCTTATGTGCTCGCAGAATTGCGAATTCTCTGCTTACGTTTAGAAAGGGAATCAGCACTCGACCTCTCGTCCTCTCATGCATTCTTCGTCATTTTGACCATTCGTCCCATCTTCCTCTCGTCATATCGCTCTCTCTTCCTCTCTTCCTTTCGTCCTCTCATCCGCTCGTCCTTTCGTCCTTTCATCCTGTCTCTTCTTTCATCCTGTCTTTTCTCTCGTCGCGCTTTCCGTTCGTTCTCTCTTCCTTTCGTCCTCTCGTCATCTCGTCCTTGCTTCCGCTCGCGAGACCCGCCAGCATCGCGAAACCTGGTAACATGGAGATGGAGAGCAACACGTGCTCAAAGTGAGAATCGACACGATCATAAATTATGTATGGGCAGACGATGACTCTACGCGGCAGAGAAGGATAAGATTAAGTGAAACGACTCGTTTCGAATAAATTGGAAATATTTGGTGCACACACAAACGTGCATTTCTCAAAGCGTTGTGAAAGTCCCACCATTCCCCACGTAGTATACGTACAGAAGAGAGGGGTAAACGCTGAGCAGAACGAGTGCTGAAGTCGTCGTCTTGCTTTGATCAGCGGCTCCGTTTGCGCCGCCATCATACGAGTGATTACACGGTGTAATTCTGCCCGCAAAAGGTCACGACGGAACGCAGCTGCGAGGAGCAGAGATGGAAATGGCCTCGCGCATCAAATGAGTTTATTATATTCTTCTAGGATGGGTCACAACCATGGTTGAAAGCGCGGAATAGTGCTGTCAGTTGACAGGAGCGACTATCCGCCCACGCCACTGTCGCCGTAGACTAAACTGTCGAATTGAACTACGTAGACCCGGGGTCCAAGAGTTTCAAAGTTAGGAAGGTTGGTTGGGACTTCAAATACAATTGGATGAGAGGAGGTTGGGTTCCCGACACCCAACCAAAGTTAGGAAGGTCGAGGCAATTTTGGGCTGTTTGGGACTCCGGTTTTAAAGCTCCGGTATAAATTTCACAGCAGGGGTTCAAAATCCTCAGGAACTTGAAAAGTTGCCCCAAAACTGTGAGGCACACTCACAAACCCGAAACCCCACTGACAAATGTATACTGCCGCTTTAAATCGGAAACTCCAAAAATTCTGCCACAATCCGTCGGGCCGTTTTTGCGAAGGTAACCAGTTTGCGACAATCGTAAGTCAAGTGGCGAAAGTCGCAAATTTCGCAAAGAAATAACGAATTTGATGGCCGTTTAAAGCCCAAGACCCGAATTACAAAAAAGGAAGGCAAACTGTGCACAGTTTGCCTCCCGCAGCCCACAGTTTTGCCCCGCGTTGACTTGCGTTGAGCAATTCAGGTCTTGGGCTTTAAAAAGTCGACACGAAAACGACGCTGAGTCGACTCCAAAACGGCCAAGTAGTCGATACAGTGTGCGACAATCGCCTGCGACGTCGCATGGTTTCGCCCAACGACAGAATTTGTGATCGCGTCAAATGAGAAATATCGCCGTCAAAAGTGCGACCCCGTCGCACATACTCAACTACTGTAGTAACTGCAAATTTAACAACTTTTCCGAACCGGCCTGCAAATCGGCCACCAAAGTTGTTAAATCGCCAAACCTGTAAATTTTGGCTGTAAAAGAGTCGACTCTGAATCGGCCACCTCGTCGTTGTTCGCGAAAAATATGACGACCATTTGGTCGTCGAAAATTCGGCCACACCCCATTTTCGGAATTGTGTGGGGATTTAACACGCCCTAAGATGTCGACATGCTTTCAATTTCAGCGGGAGTACTTTTGAAATGGGCACGGCTGATACAAAATAGCACAGATCAGCCACAGAATTCAGCGTAAAATAGGCTGTCTAGTCAACATTGGCGCTGTTCTGTAGGCGTTATTGCCTCCGCATTAAATGTACGGAACTTGTCCTTCCTTGTAGCTTCTGGCCGCACCAATGGCCTAATTTCTCAATTTGCTGGGGGGTGTTGCCACGAAGCTCGCTCAAACTCTTGAATCTCACTAATTGCTGCCCAACAACAATGGCTCAGAAGCTATGTTCCCCACGGACTATAACATGCGATGCAATGGCAGCAGTGCTCTCAATGTGCTCAGTAGCTGTCTGGTATCAGGCTTTCTACGCCTGTCAACAAGCTTTCATCATCGCACGATGGCCAACGGAAGAGGTCGTAAGGGGGGAAGACAGCAATCCCTGACGATGTCACTGATGGAATCTCTCCCCAGTCTACCGCGGAGAACACCCCGTTGACTAGGAGTCCGCTGGTCTCTGCCTCTGCTTCCCCGCTGGTGCTCCAAAGGACGACGCTGGATGATGCGACCCGCGCAACGTTGTCTGATCGCCTTTCTGCACTCAAGGACAATGGGCTGAAGGACAACCAGGCGGACGGAAAAAAGGATGATCCTCACCCTCCTCAGCCTCAACTGGTACCGTCATCATCCAGATCCCATGCTCCGGTTCCGCCAGAGGCTCCTGAGGCGGAGAAGCAGGAAGGGGGTATGGAGGAGTTGGTTGATGAGTGGTGGGACAGCGACTCAGACGATGAGTTTGACCCAGTTGCAGTCAGCTTGCTTTCTGCAGAAGTTTGCTTCCCGATTACTCTACTAATCCCAGTCGATTTTCTCAGTGAAACTCCCAAGACCAAGGCTACGGTCATCGCTCACCTTGATTTCTGGAAAACCTCGTTATCCGCGGATGTGCTTAAGACGACGCAGTACCAAGTCCTCCCGGCTGCGTGGTTGTCCAAGAAGAGATACGGCAGGCTGCAAGTGACCTTCAAGCATGCTCGTGATGCCGATTTCGTCTGGATGCGGTCTATCGAGCATGACATTGGGAAGAACAAGTCGATCACCCTGGATTGGCAGCACCCAGAGAGCGCAGCTTACAAGCGTCAACGTCACCTGCACTCGGAAGCGGTGGAAGTGGTTTTGAAGATGGTCCATGTTAGTGTCTCGCCTGATCTGATCCGCAAGATGCTTGTCGAGGTTAAGCTGCTTAAGAAAGGGAGGAGCGCGTTTAACAGTGGTTTTGGTTTCCACAGAGTCCAGGACACGGTCACCTGCATGGACACGGACAAAGTGAAGGGTTTGGTGGTTCCGCATGCGGGTGACACGGACCCATGGAGGCACGCACTCACGGACCCTTCTGACAATACCAGGAAGCTGTTGGTGCAGTACCCATCGCTCTCCTGCGACCTCTGCAACGGCCGTCACATGACACAGTTTCACAATGCATACGTTTTGGAGCGGCAGGCCAACATCAGCAAATGGAACCTGACTGTTAGGAAGGTCCATGAGATTAACGGTACCCGTGTGAATCGCCTCTCAGCTTCGCTCGCAGCCTTTACTTTACCTGTTTTTTCCTTTCCTGTAAACTTCAATGCTGACGATCCGCTGTCTCTCCCACCTCGCAGCCGCCTCGCTGAAAGCTTCTGCTATGCTGCGAGAGATTCTCAAGGATCCGGCAATAGTGCTCACCTCCACAGGAGGTTCAAGGGAAGACTGGGTCTGCGTTGTTGCGGCCTGCGAGAAAGCTCAAGGTACCAGCTTCGAGCAGGCGTTTTCCCACGTCCTCTCACTTCGCCACAAGACCAACCTGGTCAAGCCGGGAGCAGCTACACGCAACAGCAAGGGTGCCATCAGTCTTCCAGTTTTCCGCAAGGAGTTCGCAAAAGGACCTGCATAGGGGTAGTCTCACGGGGAACAAGGGAGCTGATGGGAAATAAGCTTCTGTCCTAGCAGGCGGCATAGCGAGGAAGTGACATCAGGAGCAGTGCTGATGGTGTTGAGGAGCTAGCAGTAGCGTCTCTGTGCGGTCTTTTTGTTGTAACTTGTGTTCTCACAGCCCGTGGATGCGAAGGGGCTTCATCGTGGTTGATCAATGAATAAGAAACACTCCATCACATTCTGCGAGTTCAACATCAACGGACTCGGCAGCGAGGGGAAGAGAATCAAATGCAGAGATTGGCTACGGAACAAAGTAGGCATAGCAGTCATCACAGACACAAGGATTGGCGCAGACCATAACTTCTGGACGCAACTCAAGCCAGCAGCAATGGTAGCGGTAGGACCAGCGGACACCGCCGGTGGGGTCGCGGTCTTGAGTTTTATACCAGGGATGGTTTTTAAGGAAACATATACACACCCGTCGGGGAGGCTGATCGGTGTCATGGTGAGCTGGGGTGACGTGGAGCTGCTCCTGGTGGCGATGTACCTCCCGGCGCAGCCGTGTAGCAGAGGCCAGTTTTATAGGGACTGCCTCGAACCCTTCATCAGCTCCTTACCTGCCTCACAGAGCGTGCTGGTGATGGGGGATTTCAACGTGGTGGAGGATCCCGAAATGGACAAGACAACTAAGGCAGGCTCGGCTGCGGAGAATCAGCGGTTGCTGAGCTGCTGGCCCCGCACGCCTCTGAGAGATGCCTTCCGCTTCATGTACCCGGATCGGCGTGAATACACCTTCTACTCTAAGTCAAAGAAGATGAGCACCAGGATTGACCGCGCGCTCATATCGCAGCCGTTGCAGAGTAAGCTGGTGGACGTATGGCATGAGGAAATCACCAACCGGATGACGGACCACTGGTAAGCGGTAGCAGTGTCGCTGGAGTCGTCCACGGCGGTATCAAGGGGGCCGGGGATCTGGCGGTTAAGGGGTAACCAGGCGAAGAAAAAGGGAGTCAGAAGAGTCATTAAACGGGTGCTTGATGATACGGCGGGGGATCTCAATGCGGCGTTACCGCGTCTGACAGCGTGCTTAAGGGCGTACGAGAGGCAGGAGAAAAAAAGGGAGAAGGCGACAAGGGCACACCTGGCAAAGGAGGTGGAGCTCTTCCGTTACCGTTTGATGGCGAACCCAAACTGCCAGCGCACAGCCTCCATTCTGTTGAAGAAGGTGGAGCTGCTCCTGGCTACGACAACAGTCATAAAGAAAAGCTGCGGACGTGGGCAGGGGTCACGGCAGAGCTGGATGGGGAAGCGGCGACTAGTTTCTTATCTGCGAAAATCAAGATACGGAAGGCAAAGGCGGAGATTAAGGAGGTTAGTTTCAAAGGTGTCAACTATACGGGAGCGAGAGAGGTGCTTGCAGCAGCGACTGATTTCTTCCGGGACGCCTTTGGTGCGGCTGCCTCGGGGGAGTCAGAGGAGTGCAGACCCGCTCCACTGGGGCGGACGCTGGCGGAAGGTAGTAAGGCGGCGCTCAGCGCGCCATGGACAGAGGAGGAAGTTCGCAAGGCAGTGAGGGAGCTGTCGTCGGGAAAGTCACCGGGGCAGGATGGCCTTCCTAAAGAGCTCTTCGAACACAACTAGGACCTGCTCGGGCCGGCGCTGATGGTTTTTTCGCGCGCACTGGGAAGTTGCCGCGGAGCATCAGCACGGCAGTCACGATCCTCCTGCACAAGAAGGGGAGCAAGGAGGATTTAGGCAACTACAGACCTATAACTCTGCTGAGCACGATTTATAAGGTGGTTGCGAAGGTACTGGCCAGCAGGCTCAAAAAGGTGTTGCACGAGCTGATATCGGAGGATCAGGTGGGTTTTATACCTGGCAGAAAGCTGGCGGACGCGGTGGCGGTGGTGGCAGATGCCATTGAAGCGGGAGCAAGCGGTAAGGAGGACTGGCTGCTGCTCATGGTGGATTTCCAGAAAGCGTTCGACTCCATCTCGAGGAGTTTCCTTTTCCGCACGATGAGGAGCATGGGGATCCCGGAGGACTTCATGTCCTGGACGGAGGGCCTGCACAATGAAGCGGGTACAAGGGTACATGTCAACGGCTGGACTGGTGAAGCGGTAGCGGTGAACAAAGGGGTACGGCAAGGGTGCCCGCTGGCACCATACCTCTTTTTGTGCGCTGTGGAGCCGCTGTGCCAGGAAATTGCGAAGAGAGACTTGGGGGTCGGGAGACCGGAGCTGGGGAAGCTGGCGTACCTGGGGTACGCTGACGACACCTCCCTTCTACTGCAAGGGGAAGAGCAGCTAGTCGCAGTGACGGAAGTGCTGGAAAAAATTGGAGAGGAGTCTGGGCTGAAGGTCAACCGGAGCAAAACGGTGGTCTTCCCGCTGGGGAGTAACAGAGGAATTCAGCCGCCGCCGAGTCTTCAGTATAAGTGGGCGGACACGGACGAGCCGGAGCGGTTGCTGGGGGTGTGGATCACGCCGAACGGGGACCCGCTGCCATCCTGGGAGAAAGCACTGGACAGGGCAAGGGCGGAGTTATCAAGATGGGAGATGCAGCATCTGACAACCACAGCCAGGGTTACCATAATTAACGGGTACATCACGCCAATTTTCCTGTTTCAGGCGCAGATTTACCCGCCGCCGGAGGAGATTTGGGCAAAGATCAAAAGAGTATGTCACAGTTTCGTCTCCGGCGGTCAAATGACGGAGGGTAAAGGCTTCATTTTGTGGAACTACGAGCTGATGTGCACGCCGCGGAAGGATGGAGGGCTGGGGATGATATGCCCCAAAAAGATGTTCGACAGCATAGCGGCGCAGAATGTTGGGAGACTGGTGCTGCAGCCAAAGTCAGCCAAGGAGTGGCTGGCGATGACGGCGGCGGCCCTGCCGATGGGTTTGGATACGCTCTTCGCACACAAGTCCCTGCTACGGCACTGGGAAAAGGGAAGCAGAAGATGGAAGGAGGTGTTTCAAGCATTCTGGGAAACCCCCTTCAGTAAGCCGCCGGAGCCAAAAACAAGATGGGAAGTAGCGAAGGAGCGATTAATCTTCAACCGTCGAATACCATTCCGGGGGGCAAGCCCGTTCGGGTTGGGCGACGTGATCTGGGAAAAGCTCAGCGGCGGGTATGCGCTGAAAAGCCTGGAGATGCTGACGGTGGAGATGGGCGGCGAAGAAGAGGCCAAGTGGGCGCTCAAGGCCTTCGACGCAGCCCCGCAGGAGTGGAAGGAGCTGCTACTGGCCATCCCGACGGGAGAAGGGGTGGTGTCGGCGGTACCCATGCTGCGAACTCAAGGAAGGGCGCATGCGTTACCCTCGTACTGGAAGGTGTGCGGGACGACAGGGTCGGCGGTCACGGGGAGGTTGTGTCAGGTCGACGATGCGGGAATATACAGCGTATGCGACGGGGCCAACCTAACGGTAAATCTTAACCCCCAGAGCAGCTTGTTTGAGCCGGTGGCGACGCACGGAGACAAGGTGCTCGGGCCGATGGGAGAAGCGCGGACGAAGCTATTACAAACGCAGCTGTGCAAAGACGGAGCAGTGGTGCCACTCAGGGAGGTCAGGAGGGCTCTGCAGAGCTCGGCTGGCACGGCGAGAGGGCAGAGGAGATGGGAGGGGCAAGGTGCGGTGATTGAGTGGGAAGGGGTCATCAGGCAGAGGGACTCCCTTGCCACGCCTGCCCGGGCACGAGATGTTATGCTAGGGCTACACTGCAGAAACCTGCAAGTGGGCACGAGGCTGCAGTTTTTGCGTTACAATGTGGTCTGCCCACACTGCAAACGGGAGGAGACACCGGAGCACTGCCTGCTTGGCTGCCCGGCGATACAAAAGGTGGTGGATTTCTTGAAGAATGGGTTGATGGTGATGAATCCGGGGAAGCGCTGGGAGGACCTGGAGGACCTTCTGTTCATGCAGAGGAGCACGAAGTCGGGGTTTCCAGAAAGTTCTTTCATCGCCACCACACTTCACCAAATCTGGCTGGCGAGGTGTGATGCGAACCTCCACAGCATTCGGTTTCAGACGAAACGGGTGTTGCGGCGAGTGGTGGTGAATTTTGTCGCGCATGCACGGGTGTACTGTTTGGCGAGAGAAATCGCGGCAAGGAAGCGGGGAGTGGCGGTAAACGGTGACACGTGGGCACATCTGGAAACAGACGAGGCAGAGGTTATGAAAAGGATCTGCAGCAAGGCTGCACCGCTGACGTGGAGGATATGCTTCAGCTCTCTCTGGGACAACCCGAAGCTGACACATCAACCGCCATAGGCTGAGCAAGGGGACCTGTGGTATCTGTTGCCATGGCCCTCCCCTAACTACACAGTTACGACTGACGATGTTTATTCATTGCATTCTTGTAGTGTATTTAAGCATCTAAAAAAAAAAAAAAAAAAACAACAACAACAACAACAAATTGCTGCCCTGCATAACTTGTGCGCTGGCTGATGCTAGCTCTCGAGGCCGAATTGGCAGCGCACAAGTTATGCGGACATTTGCCTGGAGATGCAACACCGTGGAACCTTCACCTCGTTAAATTTGTGTGCCCCAAAAGTGGCGTTCTGCAGGCTGAAGCGTTAAATTTGGCGCAAAAAGGTTTGGCAGGACCGCGCTTATCACCAAACCTTGATAGGCAGAAGCGCGCTTATCGGGGAAGATTCTGCGGACCCAGTTTCTGGCAATTTAACGCCTGCAGAACAGCGCAATTGAGGAGAGAGCATGTTGCGGTGTGATTCAGGCTGGGGAGGTTGATTGTCTGCCACAATTATTGCCCTCATTCCGAAATTGCTCCTCCACCTCGAAATGTGCGGTGCGGCTAAATCCAGCGGACAGACATTCTTGTTGAGTTGAACTGCATACGGGCCGTCGATGCTTTGATGAGCTCCGCTAGAGGTGCGGGTAGCAGCAGCAAGAGAAAGTGAACAATAATCATGGGAGCTGGCATTGCTGCATTCGTTATTGCACATGATTGTAGCCTGTTACACGTAAATCACGGACCATGAGTAGCGCTAACTTCAGTAGTATTTGTAACCAAGACCTCGTTTACATTTGAACAATGTACAACCATAAGAGTTTACAGCTTACGTTTATGAGAATCTCCAGTCACAGTTCATCTTTGAAAGAGACCCTCACTCTAAGCACACCTGCTAGCTTCTTATCGTTCACATTCAACACGCCTCCAGCCGAAACACCCTTGTTCTCTCCGCACTCCTCCCCATTCACACAGCCCACTCCATCCATGAGCTTTTTGAGTGGCTTGGAAAGATTCGGCCGCGTTGCCTCTTCGAGCACCGCAGGGGCACGGAGGTAGAGGTTGGATCCGTAAAAAGAGACGGACGGTGCTTGCAAGCGGGCGGCGAAACGTGGATCAGCCAATAGCTGATCAATGAACTGCAGGGAGAATACGGAACAATGAGACGTCAGCATAGAAGGAAAGTAAAAAACGTGCCCTGGCTGCTCGTGGGTCTTGAGGGCATCACCTACTGCAGGGAGCGAAAGCTGCTGCAAAGTGAAACTGAAATGCGGATCTGATGCCGTGTTAGCACCGCAGGTACATACGACACACTTGCTGCAGAGTGCAATCTGCCATGCCAGCACACGCTTAGTACCTACCTGCTGCAGAGTGGCTGTGGACGGTACGGTGACAGGGACGCCAGCGCTGCACACAAGGCACTCGGGGTCCCTCTCATAGGCCACGGTGTGTGAGTACACTCCCTGCGTGCCCACATACCTGAGGGGTGGGGCCCACACATGTGGGGATTGGGAGAGGGACAAGGGAGAGAGGAAAGTGTGGCATATCTGTTGAAGGCACTCGGGATCCCTCTCATAGGCCACTGTGTGTGAGTAGACCCCCTGCGTGCCCACGTACCTGTGGGGTGCACAAGTGTGGGAATTGGGACAAGGACGGGAGAGATTCAAGAGTGCTTTATTTGATTAAGGAGTGCCAGCGCTGCACACAAGGCACTCGGGATCCCTCTCATAGGCCACGGTGTGTGAGTACACCCCCTGTGTGCCCACGTACCTATGGGGTGGGGGCCACACATGTGGGGATTGGGATAAGAGCAGGGGAGAGGGACGTGCAGGATGTTTGTTCAAGGGTGCATGTGAGGGCGTTCGCTAACATCACTTGTTCAGAAATAGAAGCACTCTCACTGCCATCAGTGAGGGATTCATGCATATAAGCACATTCACTTACATCACGTAGTTGTTCATCCCAGCGGAGCACATTGTAGCGATCTTGAGAGTCTCCAGTGCGCACACCGCTGATATGATGGCGTTGGTTGATGCTATAGCGGGGATAATGTTCTTCACCACTCCCTGCATGAGATGCATCGTGATGGCGGTGTGACACAAAAAGGGGGATTATGGCATGGCAGTGCGATGTGTGACGATGGGAGGGGATTGCAAGAAGTGGAAGAAACGGCTTGGGAAGGGCGGGAAGGGGGTTGCAGGTTCAGGAAGAGGAGACACTGGAGAGGCGAGGCGATGTGCGGCTCACTGGTCGTGATGAAGGACAGCAGTGTGAAGAACCGCTTTAGCAAAAAAACGAGTCACTTGTTGAAAATTTGTTACCCTTACAAAACTAGAGTAGGAACCGAAAGTACAGCTCTATTCAAACTCCAAGGCGAGGCGAGGCGTGGCGAGGTACACAGCACAGAGGAGAGGCGGATGACAGCATGGTGCATGGCAGCATGGTGCATGGCATGGCATGCACCTGTGTGAGAGAGAGCGTAACCCCCGTGATGCTGTGCTGCTGGGCTCGAATGACAGCCTGCCGGGGAGCACAGGGGAGATGGGAGTGTGGCAGGATGGAAGGGGAAGAAGGGGATGGAAGGGGAACAAGGGGATGGAGGGGAATGAGGGAAGGAGGGGAAGGAGGGGAAGGAGGGGAAGGGAGGGAGGAGAGAGGGACATGAACAAAGAATGAAGAACAGATGATTGTGGAAAACAGAGAAGATGCGGTAGAACATAGCAGAGTAAAAGAGGGTGATAGAGCAAGCAGTTCCTTCTGGTAGATCCACTGTATGTGCTCCAAGTGTATTGAGACGTCTGAAAACACTTCTTTTATCACGTGGTAAACGACGGTCACAGAGCAAGCAGCACCTTGTGGTAGATCCACTATATGTTCTCCAAGTTGTCCGCATCAAAGGCCTCTCCTGGACGCTCCTGGTGGTGATGAGGAGGCGGGGAGAGGAGGAGAGGAGAAGAGATGATTGGTGATAAGAGAAGAGGATTGACGTGGTGAATGGAGTAGAGTAAAGAAGGCATTGGGGAAAAGACGGAGGAATGAGACAGAGACAAAGAGACAGAAAGGAGATTGGACAAAGAAATTGAGAACGAAGCCGACAACCAAAGCAAAGTGGCAACTGATTAAAACAAGGTGAGGTTGTGAGGAGGGCGGAGCAAGAGTGGGAAGGAGAGAGGAAGTGGGTAAGTTGGTCCGGGAAAAATAATATTATACCTTTGGCCTTTTCCACACCCATCCGCCTCCTACCCCCCACTGAATGCAAAACTCTTTCCATCTGAATGAGGTGAGCATATCGATGGAATGAGTGGGCGACCCGAACCCTCTCCGCCCCATTTGCTAATCCAATCCTCCCCCTCCCCTACACAAACCCAACTCCTCCCCTCCCCTTTTGCGAAACCACTTTCCCCTCCTTCCCGCCCCTCCTCCCACACGACACGCGTCTCACCTCCCCCCACTGAATGAGGTGCGCGTATTCAATGCAGTGCGCGGGCGAGCGCGGGGTCTCAGCGAGAGTGCAGAGGGGGAACCTGGTCTGCGGGGGGAAGAGCCAGAGAGTGCAGTGGAAGCACGGCGTCACCCCCGGGATGATCACCCTCGCGTGCCCCTTAAAGCCCTCAGTGCCGCCGTCCACCATGGGGCGGATGGAGGTTAAGTCCAGCTCGCCTTCAGGAGAGTACTCTGGTGGTGAGGGATGGAGATAAAAGAGGAGTCGAAGGAGGAGACACTGGGTAAGGGGTAAGAGCATTCAGGCTGCAGGCATGCCCCTTTACACCCTCCGTGCCCCACGTCCACCATGGGGTGAGTGGAGGTTAAGTCCAGCTCGCCTTCAGGAGAGTACTCTGGTGGTGAGGGATGGAGATAAAAGAGGAGTCGAAGGAGGAGACACTGGGTAAGGGGTAAGAGCATTCAGGCTGCAGGCATGCCCCTTTACACCCTCCGTGCCCCCCGTCCACCATGGGGTGAGTGGAGGTTAAGTCCAGCTCGCCTTCAGGAGAGTACTCTGGTGGTGAGGGATGGAGATAAAAGAGGAGTCGAAGGAGGAGACACTGGGTAAGGGGTAAGAGCATTCAGGCTGCAGGCATGCCCCTTTACACCCTCCGTGCCCCCCGTCCACCATGGGGTGAGTGGAGGTTAAGTCCAGCTCGCCTTCAGGAGAGTACTCTGGTGGTGAGGGATGGAGATAAAAGAGGAGTCGAAGGAGGAGACACTGGGTAAGGGGTAAGAGCATTCAGGCTGCAGGCATGCCCCTTTACACCCTCCGTGCCCCCCGTCCACCATGGGGTGAGTGGAGGTTAAGTCCAGCTCGCCTTCAGGAGAGTACTCTGGTGGTGAGGGAGGAGACGAGGAGAGGAGTGAAGGGATGGAGACGAGGAGAGGAGTGAAGGAGGAGGGGGGGACACTGGGTGGGAAGAATGATCACTCCGGCATGCCCCTTGAAGGCCTCCATTGCGCCGTCCACCATGGGGCGGATACAGGTTAAGCCCAGCTCGCCCTCAGGGGAACACTCTGGTGGTGAGGGTGGAGATGGGGGTGTGGAGGAAGGAGATGGCACAAGGAAGGGAGAATGATCACTCTCGCATGCCCCTTAAAGCCCTCCGTGCCGCCGTCCAGCTCGCCCTCAGGGGAACACTCTGGCGGTGGTGAGGGATGAAGATAAAGAGGAGTCGACGGAGGAGGGGACACTGCGTAGGAAGAAAGAGCACTCAGGCATGCCCCTTGAAGCCCTCCGTTCCGCCGTCCACCATGGGGCGGATGGAGGTCAAGTCCAGCTCGCCTTGACGGGGAATACTCTGGTGGTGAGGAGGTGGAGATTGGGGGTGGAGCAGAGACGGGGTGATGGAGGACGGGGGTAATAGGTAGAGAGGGTCTCCCTCGCAGGTAGAGAGAATCCACGTGTAAAAAGAGTAGTTTTGAGACGTCTCAAAACTACTCTTTTTACACGTGCCCTCGCAGGTAGACAGGGTCGCCCTCGCATGCCCCGTGAATCCTCCGTGGCCCCGTCCCGTCCACCATGGGGCGGATTATTGTCAGGCCTAACTCGCCCTCAGGAGAATACTCTGGAGGTGGTGGGGGTGGAAATGCGGAGATGGGGGTGGAGCAGAAGCAGGGGCGATGGAAGGAGGAGGGGGTATTAGGTAGGAAGGCCGATCACCCTTGCATGCCCCTCAAAGTTTCCGTGCCACCTGTCAACGGGAGTTGTGGTTGGCCCCGTCCTCGCTTGGGCGGAGCCGACTTCGTAGTCGGGTGTGCAGGGAGCGCAGCCGATCAGTAGTTGCAGTGAGGGCGCTCAGCTGGAGGGCGCCGAGCAGGAGGACGCCATCATGGGCGTCTGGACGGCGTCCTGGGAGGCTGGACGCCGACCTGGGCGTCTGGACGGCGTCCTGGGCGCCTGGACGCCGACCTGGGCGCCTGGACGGCGTCCAGGAAGGCTGGACGCCGACCTGGGCGCCTGGACGTCGACCTGGGCGTCTGCACGGCGTCTTGGGCACCCAGACGCCGACCTAGGCGCCTGGACGTCGACATGGGTGCTGGGACACTTCATCAGAGGAAGCCGACTTGGTGTGGTCGGCTGACAGGCGTGCTGGTCGACCTGGAGTTGGTCGACCAGGTGGGTTGTCGAGTTGGAGCTGGTCGACCAAGGTTGTGGTCGACCTGGTGAGGTCGAATGAAAGTGGTCGTCGACTTGGGAGGTCGATGGGCACACGAGGAAGCAGCTGGTCGACGTGGTGGTTGCCCGGTCGACCAGGTTACCTGGGTGACGAGGTTCTGCGAAGGAGTGCGACGGTCGCCCAGGTGGTTTTGGCGAGACCGACCTCGGTGGTGGTATCCCGAGGTCGACGTGGCGGATCAGGTGCAGTCGTCAGCACGAGGATGATTTAGTGTGTGCGCTGTGCAGGTGACGAGGCACAGCACGCCAATCATCTGCGCGCACCTGCGAAGCGGGTGCGCTGCTGTCCTGCGGGAGCAACGTTGGCACGCCGTCGACCTGCAGCGTTGGCAAGCCGCGACTCCGCACTGCTGGAGCGCGGTCGACCAAGTCGTGCTGGCACGCGGTTGACCATGCTGCGCTGGCAGTCGACCAACCTGTATCCTAGCGTTGATGTAGTCTTGTCTTGCCAACTTCATTGTACTTTTGTTCTGAACCTCTTTCTAGTGAAACTCTTGCCAATTCTCTCCGTGAACTAGCAAGTAGCGTGAGCACTTGGAAACGACTAAGGAACGAACGAACGTAGAGATCCCTCCTACCCCGTGCCTAGCCCGTAGTCTAGCTCCCGTTGATAGAGTTACCTCCGCACCACCGTCCACCATGAGGCGAATGGAGGTTAAGTCCAGTCCAGCTCGCCTTCAGGGGAGTACTCAGCTCAGGCACGCCCCTTAATGCCCCCCATGCCACGATCCACCTTTGAGGCGCCTCAAACAGGGGCGGATAGATTCAAAGTCCAGCTCGCCCTCAGGGGAGTACTCTGGTGGTGGGGGTGGAGACGGGGGTGGGGCAGGAGGGGTGGAGGAAAAGAGGATGAGCACCCGCGCATGCCCCTTGAAGCCTTCCGTTCCCCCGTCGTCCACCATGGGGCGAATGGAGGTCAAGTCCAGCTCGCCCTCAGGGGAGTACTCTGTGGAGACAGACAGTGCAAGAAGAGGGAGTGAATCAAGGCGGGGGTATTCCGTAGGGAGGGTGATTACCCTCACATGGGCCTTCCGCCCATGGGGTGAATTGATGTCAGGTCGAACACGCCATCAGTGACTGTTCTGGTGGTGAGGATGGAGATGGGGGTGGAGAGTGGGGGTGGAAGGAGGAATTTGCACTAAGTAGGAAGCTTGATCACCCTCACATGCCACTTAAAGCCCTCCGTGCCCCCGCCAACCACGGCGCGGATGATAGGCGCCACGCCCAGCTCGCTCTGGGGGTGTGTGGAGAGGGAGCTGGGCTCACCAAGTATTCTGGTGGTGAGGGTGGAGCTGCCAAGTGGAGGAAAGAAGGCATATTAATGAGGGAGAATGATAACCCTCGCTTGCCCCTGCAAGCCCTCCGTGCCTCCGTCCACTGTGGGACGGATTGATGCCAGGTGAGTACTCTGGTGATGAGGGACGATTCGGAGAGCAGGAGAGGACTTTTGAGTCGACTCAAAAGTCAGCTCGATTGATGCCAGGTGAGTACTCTGGTGATGAGGGACGATTCGGAGAGCAGGAGGGGAGGCACTGACATGGGCACGCCGCACACCCAAGACACTTGAACAGGAGGATTGAGAGGGTAGGAGAGAGAACGAGAGCACCACAGCAGCAACAGTGAGTGAAACATGAGCAGCGTAACGATGCTCTCAAACAGTGACCATGTAAAGAGACATGCCTTTTCTCAAACAAAGCCGTCACACACACGCCAAACATTCGAAGCCAAGTGATGAAGCGAGGGCTCCTGCCATGTGCCCTTCACTTCACCACACCACACCATGGCATGGCATGGCACTCATTTCTCTGTCCAACATGGCAGCCCCACACGCAAAGTCGTGCAAATTGCAGTGCACAGCCATCCTCGAAGTGCAATTGCAGTGCACAGCCATCCTCGAAGTGCAAATTGCAGTGCACAGGCATCCTCGATGTGCAAATTGCAGTGCACAGGCATCCTCGAAGTGCAAATTGCAGTGCACAGCCATCCTCGAAGTGCAAATTGCAGTGCACAGCCATCCTCGAAGTGCAAATTGCAGTGCACAGCCATCCTCGAAGTGCAAATTGCAGTGCACAGGCATCCTCGAAGTGCAAATTGCAGTGCACAGCCATCCTCGAAGTGCAAATTGCAGTGCACAGGCATCCTCGAAGTGCGAATTGCAGTGCACAGCCCTCCTCGAAGTGCAAATTGCAGTGCACAGGCATCCTCGAAGTGCGAATTGCAGTGCACAGGCCTCCTCGAAGTGCAAATTGCAGTGCACAGGCATCCTCGAAGTGCGAATTGCAGTGCACAGCCATCCTCGAAGTGCAAATTGCAGTGCACAGGCATCCTCGAAGTGCAAATTGCAGTGCACAGGCATCCTCGAAGTGCAAATTGCAGTGCACAGGCATCCTCGAAGTGCAAATTGCAGTGCACAGGCATCCTCGAAGTGCAAATTGCAGTGCACAGCCATCCTCGAAGTGCAAATTGCAGTGCACAGGCATCCTCGAAGTGCAAATTGCAGTGCACAGGCATCCTCGAAGTGCAAATTGCAGTGCACAGGCATCCTCGAAGTGCAAATTGCAGTGCACAGGCATCCTCGAAGTGCGAATTGCAGTGCACAGGCATCCTCGAAGTGCAAATTGCAGTGCACAGGCATCCTCGAAGTGCGAATTGCAGTGCACAGGCCTCCTCGAAGTGCAAATTGCAGTGCACAGCCATCCTCGAAGTGCGAATTGCAGTGCACAGGCATCCTCGAAGTGCAAATTGCAGTGCACAGCCATCCTCGAAGTGCAAATTGCAGTGCACAGCCATCCTCGAAGTGCAAATTGCAGTGCACAGCCATCCTCGAAGTGCAAATTGCAGTGCACAGGCATCCTCGAAGTGCGAATTGCAGTGCACAGCCCTCCTCGAAGTGCAAATTGCAGTGCACAGGCATCCTCCAAGTGCGAATTGCAGTGCACAGGCCTCCTCGAAGTGCAAATTGCAGTGCACAGCCATCCTCGAAGTGCGAATTGCAGTGCACAGGCATCCTCGAAGTGCAAATTGCAGTGCACAGCCATCCTCGAAGTGCAAATTGCAGTGCACAGGCATCCTCGAAGTGCAAATTGCAGTGCACAGGCATCCTCGAAGTGCAAATTGCAGTGCACAGGCATCCTCGAAGTGCAAATTGCAGTGCACAGCCATCCTCGAAGTGCAAATTGCAGTGCACAGGCATCCTCGAAGTGCAAATTGCAGTGCACAGGCATCCTCGAAGTGCAAATTGCAGTGCACAGGCATCCTCGAAGTGCAAATTGCAGTGCACAGGCATCCTCGAAGTGCAAATTGCAGTGCACAGGCATCCTCGAAGTGCAAATTGCAGTGCACAGCCATCCTCGAAGTGCAAATTGCAGTGCACAGGCATCCTCGAAGTGCAAATTGCAGTGCACAGGCATCCTCGAAGTGCAAATTGCAGTGCACAGGCATCCTCGAAGTGCAAATTGCAGTGCACAGGCATCCTCGAAGTGCAAATTGCAGTGCACAGGCATCCTCGAAGTGCAAATTGCAGTGCACAGGCATCCTCGAAGTGCAAATTGCAGTGCACAGGCATCCTCGAAGTGCAAATTGCAGTGCACAGGCATCCTCGAAGTGCAAATTGCAGTGCACAGCCATCCTCGAAGTGCAAATTGCAGTGCACAGCCATCCTCGAAGTGCAAATTGCAGTGCACAGCCATCCTCGAAGTGCAAATTGCAGTGCACAGCCATCCTCGAAGTGCAAATTGCAGTGCACAGCCATCCTCGAAGTGCAAATTGCAGTGCACAGGCATCCTCGAAGTGCAAATTGCAGTGCACAGGCATCCTCGAAGTGCGAATTGCAGTGCACAGGCATCCTCGAAGTGCAAATTGCAGTGCACAGGCATCCTCGAAGTGCGAATTGCAGTGCACAGGCCTCCTCGAAGTGCAAATTGCAGTGCACAGCCATCCTCGAAGTGCGAATTGCAGTGCACAGGCATCCTCGAAGTGCAAATTGCAGTGCACAGCCATCCTCGAAGTGCAAATTGCAGTGCACAGCCATCCTCGAAGTGCAAATTGCAGTGCACAGCCATCCTCGAAGTGCAAATTGCAGTGCACAGGCATCCTCGAAGTGCGAATTGCAGTGCACAGGCCTCCTCGAAGTGCAAATTGCAGTGCACAGCCATCCTCGAAGTGCGAATTGCAGTGCACAGGCATCCTCGAAGTGCAAATTGCAGTGCACAGCCATCCTCGAAGTGCAAATTGCAGTGCACAGGCATCCTCGAAGTGCAAATTGCAGTGCACAGGCATCCTCGAAGTGCAAATTGCAGTGCACAGGCATCCTCGAAGTGCGAATTGCAGTGCACAGGCCTCCTCGAAGTGCAAATTGCAGTGCACAGCCATCCTCGAAGTGCGAATTGCAGTGCACAGGCATCCTCGAAGTGCAAATTGCAGTGCACAGCCATCCTCGAAGTGCAAATTGCAGTGCACAGCCATCCTCGAAGTGCAAATTGCAGTGCACAGCCATCCTCGAAGTGCAAATTGCAGTGCACAGGCATCCTCGAAGTGCGAATTGCAGTGCACAGCCCTCCTCGAAGTGCAAATTGCAGTGCACAGGCATCCTCGAAGTGCGAATTGCAGTGCACAGGCCTCCTCGAAGTGCAAATTGCAGTGCACAGCCATCCTCGAAGTGCGAATTGCAGTGCACAGGCATCCTCGAAGTGCAAATTGCAGTGCACAGCCATCCTCGAAGTGCAAATTGCAGTGCACAGGCATCCTCGAAGTGCAAATTGCAGTGCACAGGCATCCTCGAAGTGCAAATTGCAGTGCACAGGCATCCTCGAAGTGCAAATTGCAGTGCACAGGCATCCTCGAAGTGCAAATTGCAGTGCACAGGCATCCTCGAAGTGCAAATTGCAGTGCACAGGCATCCTCGAAGTGCAAATTGCAGTGCACAGGCATCCTCGAAGTGCAAATTGCAGTGCACAGGCATCCTCGAAGTGCAAATTGCAGTGCACAGGCATCCTCGAAGTGCAAATTGCAGTGCACAGGCATCCTCGAAGTGCAAATTGCAGTGCACAGGCATCCTTGAAGTGCGAATTGCAGTGCACAGCCCTCCTCGAAGTGCAAATTGCAGTGCACAGGCATCCTCGAAGTGCAAATTGCAGTGCACAGGCATCCTCGAAGTGCAAATTGCAGTGCACAGGCATCCTCGAAGTGCAAATTGCAGTGCACAGGCATCCTCGAAGTGCAAATTGCAGTGCACAGGCATCCTCGAAGTGCAAATTGCAGTGCACAGCCATCCTCGAAGTGCAAATTGCAGTGCACAGGCATCCTCGAAGTGCAAATTGCAGTGCACAGGCATCCTCGAAGTGCAAATTGCAGTGCACAGGCATCCTCGAAGTGCAAATTGCAGTGCACAGGCATCCTCGAAGTGCAAATTGCAGTGCACAGGCATCCTCGAAGTGCAAATTGCAGTGCACAGGCATCCTCGAAGTGCAAATTGCAGTGCACAGGCATCCTCGAAGTGCGAATTGCAGTGCACAGCCCTCCTCGAAGTGCAAATTGCAGTGCACAGGCATCCTCGAAGTGCAAATTGCAGTGCACAGGCATCCTCGAAGTGCAAATTGCAGTGCACAGGCATCCTCGAAGTGCGAATTGCAGTGCACAGGCCTCCTCGAAGTGCAAATTGCAGTGCACAGCCATCCTCGAAGTGCGAATTGCAGTGCACAGGCATCCTCGAAGTGCAAATTGCAGTGCACAGCCATCCTCGAAGTGCAAATTGCAGTGCACAGGCATCCTCGAAGTGCAAATTGCAGTGCACAGGCATCCTCGAAGTGCAAATTGCAGTGCACAGCCATCCTCGAAGTGCAAATTGCAGTGCACAGCCATCCTCGAAGTGCAAATTGCAGTGCACAGCCATCCTCGAAGTGCAAATTGCAGTGCACAGCCATCCTCGAAGTGCAAATTGCAGTGCACAGGCATCCTCGAAGTGCAAATTGCAGTGCACAGGCATCCTCGAAGTGCGAATTGCAGTGCACAGGCATCCTCGAAGTGCAAATTGCAGTGCACAGGCATCCTCGAAGTGCGAATTGCAGTGCACAGGCCTCCTCGAAGTGCAAATTGCAGTGCACAGCCATCCTCGAAGTGCGAATTGCAGTGCACAGGCATCCTCGAAGTGCAAATTGCAGTGCACAGCCATCCTCGAAGTGCAAATTGCAGTGCACAGCCATCCTCGAAGTGCAAATTGCAGTGCACAGCCATCCTCGAAGTGCAAATTGCAGTGCACAGGCATCCTCGAAGTGCGAATTGCAGTGCACAGGCCTCCTCGAAGTGCAAATTGCAGTGCACAGCCATCCTCGAAGTGCGAATTGCAGTGCACAGGCATCCTCGAAGTGCAAATTGCAGTGCACAGCCATCCTCGAAGTGCAAATTGCAGTGCACAGGCATCCTCGAAGTGCAAATTGCAGTGCACAGGCATCCTCGAAGTGCAAATTGCAGTGCACAGGCATCCTCGAAGTGCGAATTGCAGTGCACAGGCCTCCTCGAAGTGCAAATTGCAGTGCACAGCCATCCTCGAAGTGCGAATTGCAGTGCACAGGCATCCTCGAAGTGCAAATTGCAGTGCACAGCCATCCTCGAAGTGCAAATTGCAGTGCACAGCCATCCTCGAAGTGCAAATTGCAGTGCACAGCCATCCTCGAAGTGCAAATTGCAGTGCACAGGCATCCTCGAAGTGCGAATTGCAGTGCACAGCCCTCCTCGAAGTGCAAATTGCAGTGCACAGGCATCCTCGAAGTGCGAATTGCAGTGCACAGGCCTCCTCGAAGTGCAAATTGCAGTGCACAGCCATCCTCGAAGTGCGAATTGCAGTGCACAGGCATCCTCGAAGTGCAAATTGCAGTGCACAGCCATCCTCGAAGTGCAAATTGCAGTGCACAGGCATCCTCGAAGTGCAAATTGCAGTGCACAGGCATCCTCGAAGTGCAAATTGCAGTGCACAGGCATCCTCGAAGTGCAAATTGCAGTGCACAGGCATCCTCGAAGTGCAAATTGCAGTGCACAGGCATCCTCGAAGTGCAAATTGCAGTGCACAGGCATCCTCGAAGTGCAAATTGCAGTGCACAGCCATCCTCGAAGTGCAAATTGCAGTGCACAGGCATCCTCGAAGTGCAAATTGCAGTGCACAGGCATCCTCGAAGTGCAAATTGCAGTGCACAGGCATCCTCGAAGTGCAAATTGCAGTGCACAGGCATCCTCGAAGTGCGAATTGCAGTGCACAGCCCTCCTCGAAGTGCAAATTGCAGTGCACAGGCATCCTCGAAGTGCAAATTGCAGTGCACAGGCATCCTCGAAGTGCAAATTGCAGTGCACAGGCATCCTCGAAGTGCAAATTGCAGTGCACAGGCATCCTCGAAGTGCGAATTGCAGTGCACAGGCATCCTCGAAGTGCAAATTGCAGTGCACAGGCATCCTCGAAGTGCAAATTGCAGTGCACAGGCATCCTCGAAGTGCAAATTGCAGTGCACAGGCATCCTCGAAGTGCAAATTGCAGTGCACAGCCATCCTCGAAGTGCAAATTGCAGTGCACAGCCATCCTCGAAGTGCAAATTGCAGTGCACAGCCATCCTCGAAGTGCAAATTGCAGTGCACAGCCATCCTCGAAGTGCAAATTGCAGTGCACAGCCATTCTCGAAGTGCAAATTGCAGTGCACAGCCATCCTCGAATCGTTCACTCAGCAAGCAAGCGTGCCACTCGATCAAAGCTAGGACCGACCTAGGAAGCCGCAGACGAGGCTGTTGATGTAGGAGCGGGCCTCCAGCGAGTCGAGCACCAACAAGATGATGTTGACGCCTGCTTGGCACTGTGCGCATGCAGTCATCTTGCAAGCATGCAGTCATCTTGCAAGCATGCAGTCATCTTGCAAGCATGCAGTGCTATTCATGTAAGTCTAGGGCAAGCGCACCTAGAAATCCGCACACGAGGCTGTTGATGTAGGAGCGCGCTTCAAGCGATTCCAGCCCCAGCACGATGATGTTGAAATCGTTGAAGAACGAGGCAGGCTTGTCCTCTATGCGACACAAGTGAGGGGTCACCTGGTGGGGTGAGGTGGTGGGGATAGGTAGGGGTGGGCGGGGTGGGGCAGGGTGCGGAGCAGGCGGGGGAGGGGGGGGTTGCTGAAGAACGAGGCGGGCTTGTCCTCTATGCGACAGAAGTGGGGGGTCACCTGGTAAATGGGGTGGGGGGTGGGGGGTGAAGGTTGGAAAACGGGGTGGAAGGGGGACAGTGGTGTTGAGGGGGAGTTTGAGACAGTCTGAGAAAGTGAGTCGAGGCCCAACACAATGATGTTGAACTCGTTGAAGAAGGACGCGGGCTTGTCCTCTATGCGACAAAAGTGCGGGGTCACCTGGTGCGGAAGAAGTGGGGGAGGAGGGGTCTGCTGAAGAATGATGCGGGCTTCTCCTCTATGCGACAGAAGTGGGGGGTCACCTGGTGGGGTGAGGTGGGTTGGGATGGGGGTTGGTGATGTCTCAGTACGCGAGTCGGGCCACAATGATGTTCAAATCGTTGAAGAAAGAGGCGGGCACCAGAAGTGCACCGATCGCAAGCACACCCACAGCACCATCACCTATCGCACCTAGGTGATGGTGCTATGGGTGTGCGTGCTATAGGTGATGGTGCTGTGGGTGTGCGTGCAATAGGTGATGGTGATGTGGGTGTGCGTGCGATAGGTGATGGTGCTGTGGGTGTGCGTGCAATAGGTGATGGTGCTGTGGGTGTGCGTGCAATAGGTGATGGTGCTGTGGGTGTGCGTGCGATAGGTGATGGTGCTGTGGGTGTGCGTGCGATAGGTGATGGTGATGTGGGTGTGTGTGCGATAGGTGATGGTGATGTGGGTGTGCCGGCGTCACCTGTTGAGGGTGGGGCGGGGTGCAGGGAGAGGGCGAACGGTGATTCCGAGAGTGGCAAGGGGGATTGAAGTTTACGTCAGGAAGCAGCAAGAGGTGGGGTTTGATTGATAGATAGTGAGGCAATAAAGCACGAAGCACAACAGTGCAAACGTGGCAAGTCCTCCCCTTACCCCTCTCACTTCTACCACTCCCTCCCTCCCCTTCCCCCCGGCCCCTTCCCCCCTCCCCTTTCCCCCTTCCCCTTTCCCACCTCCCCTTTCCCTCCTCTTTTCCCCCGCTCACCTTGACCCCGCCCACGCGGCTCATGACTCGCTCTGCCGCCACCACCGCCTTGGGCTTGCCCACGTCTGCTGGGCTGCACGGAAGCAAGAGCGGCGGCACGAGGGGGTTGCATGCAGGGGAGAGGAGAGGGGAGGGAAAGACTTGTTGATTGTCACTCGCGCTGCTGCCACCACCGCCTTGGGCTTGCCCACGTCTGCTGGGCTGCACGGGGGGGAATGATGTGGCAACACGAAGGGGAAAATGGGGTCGACGAGGGGGTAAGGAGAGTAGGGAGGGAGAGCGGGCGGGTGAATGATAAGGACTTTTAGAACAGGGCTGTGAGGTCCACTGGGCGGGCCGATGGCTCGTTGAGCGGGCGGGCGGCACACTGGGGACAGGGCTGTGAGGTCCATCCACTGCACTGCTCAACGAGCGGACGGGCAGGTCACACAGTACGGTGACACCGTCACATGCTCTGATGTCACCCTCACATGCTCTGATGTCACCCTCACATGCTCTGCTGTCACCCTCACATGCTCTGCTCTGCTGTCATCGCTGCCATGGGCTTGCCCATGTAACCGGGAGTGCGGGAGCATATAGGGAAGGATGGGGAGAATGAGTGGCACATTGGGGACAGGGCTGTGAGGTCCATCCACTGCACTGCACTGCACTGCACTGCACTGCACTGCACTGCACTGCACTGCACTGCACTGCACTGCACTGCACTGCTCAACTGCTGTACCTGCACTCTTCACGTACTGTTGCTTGCCACATCGTTCGGGTACTTTCAATTCCAGCGCCCATGCATTGCAGTAGCAGCAGCACTGTTCATGCACTGTAGCATCACTGCATCACTGTAGCATCACTGCATCACTGTAGCATCACTGCATCACTGCATCACTGTAGCATCACTGCATCACTGTAGAATCACTGCATCACTGCATCACTGTAGCGTCACTGTAGCACCACCGGAAGAGAAACTGTCTGTTGAGGTTGGAGACACCGATGGTGTGACTGTCTGTCACACCCCAACGAGTACATGCACTAGGAGCACTGCTTGTGCTCTGGGGTATGCCGGGGGAAAAACTGCCTGTAGAGGTTTGAGACGAGACGCGAATGGTGGCAGCAGGTCGATGACGTCTATGCTGCCACACCCACCGACCGAGCCCATGCACAGTTCATACACCGTGGTACCACTGTAACCCACCGGAAGAGGAACTGCCTGTTGAGGTTGGAGACATCAATAGTGTCCATGTCAATCACGTCTATGCTGCCAAACCCCGACAGAACCAAGTCTTTGAGCAGCTCTGTTCACACACTGTAGCTCACCGAAACAAGAAGTGTCTGTTGAGATTCGAGACGTCAATGGTGTCCATGTCAATGACGTCTATGCTGCCAAACCCCGACAGCACCAGGTCCTTTAGCAGCTCGCAGCCCAGCCCGCCCGCCCCCACTACCAGCACGCGGCAGTCGTCCTTGAGAAAGTCGCGGATCTGGTTGGTGTGGGGATGAGAGTGGGGCAAGGGGGAGTGGGGGAAAGGGAAGAGGTGGGGAATACATCCCACCAGGCCCTTTAGCAGCTCACACCCCAACCCCCACCACCAGCACTCGGCAGTCGTCCTTCAAGAACTCGCGGATCTGGTTGGTGGGGGTGGGAGTGTGGGGCAGGTGGGAGTGGAGAGTGGGGAAAGGGGGGATGTGGGGAAGGTGAGTATGGGGAAGGGGGTGAATTACAGCAGCTGCTTGAGCAGCTCGCACCCACCACGAGCACGCGGCAGTCCTCCCTGAGAAAATCGCGATTCTGGTTGACGTGGCAGGTGGGAGTGTGGGAAAGGGTGGGGTAAGCGGGAGGTGGGGAAGGGGTGGAAAAGGGAAAGACGAGAAGCAGGTACTTAGGCAGATTGCACCCCAGCCCGCCTGCTCCCACCACCAGCAGCACTCGGCAGTCTGACTTCAGGAACTCGAGAATCTGGTTGGTGTGGGTGGGGGAGAGTGTGGGGCAGGTGGGAGAAGCGAGTGGGGACGAGGGAAGACTGAGGAAGGGGAGAGAATGGAGAAGGAGTGGCAAGGAGAAGGGGATATATCCCAGGAAGAAGAGTGGGAAGAAGGGGCGAGTGGGAAAGGAGGAGAGTAGGGAAGGGGGGAGATTGGGGAAGGGGGAGAGTGGGGAAGGGGGAGAGTGGGGAAGGGGGAGAGTGGGGAAGGGGGAGAGTGGGGACGGGGGAGAGCAGGGAAGGGGGGAGAGTGGGGAAGGGGGAGAGCAGGGAAGGGGGGAGAGTGGGGACGGGGGAGAGTGGGGACGGGGGTAGATTAGGGAAGGGGGGAGAGTGTGGAAGGGGGGAGAGTGCGGCAAGGAGGAGAGTGGTGAAAAGGAGAGAACGGGGAAGAGGGGAAAGAGGAACGAACGAAACGCTCAAGGTGTCTCGACCGCGCGCAGGCCAGAAGCATGCTCCCACGGTGGTACCGTATTAGGTTTCACTTGCCAGCCCACGGCAGTCTCACTTGAGACAGCCGTGAATGTGGCTGGTCGGTGTGGCGCGGGAGGAGGAATGGGTGGGTGGCGGGAGCAAGGGGCAGCGGAAAAGGGTGGGGAAGGAGAGGGAGAGGGGCGCACATGACAGCAGGGCCTAGCGAGCCGCCTGCTCACCTGCTCCATGCGAGCACCATGCGTTCCAACGCGCCTGCTCCCACCACGCACGGCATGGCCTCATGATGCCCCACGCACGGCATACCTCCGGCGAGGGTTCGAATCCAGGCCCGACGAGCATCCCTGGTCGAAGCAACAGACGGTCCAGATCTCGCCACTGCCCCTCCAGCTCCATCGCTGCGCCCTCCGCTGCCATCGCAGCCGTTCGTCGCGACGCCGATCAACGCGCCGCGGGTACCTAAAGCGGCGCGAATGCTCCCCGGGAACTGCTGTGCTGCGGCGCGTGTCGTGGTGCCGTCGATCAACGCGACTGACCCCGATCGACGGCTCTACTGCACCGGGGCGAGCGTGAGAGTATGATTACGAGGGTCGCTGAGTGCTCAGCGCGTCGCGTTGCCGATTGACGCTAATTGCGAGACGTACGTAACCGGAAAACGTTTCAGAAACACAGCAGGTCATGCAGACTGGTGGCGAGGAGAGTCAAACTCGACCGGAAAAGCGGTACTGGTGACTAAACAGGGCAATTTCTAAGGGTTGGGCGTGCAAAGCTGTTGTGTGTTGAGATATAAAATGGCCCACTGTTTCCAATACCAGGATGTAGTGCGTTCCAGCAAAAATAACGTACACATGGGATATTGGTTCAGATTTTCCCACCTAGCAACCAAGGGGCAATATTTTACAAATCAGGTGGGTGGATATCCTAGCAAGGACCCTGACCAGAAATGACTAATCACCACCACCTGAAGCATCGGCAAACACAATGCAAACACTTCATGTGCATGCACTCGAGTTCATCACTAAACAGCCGGTCCGATGTACGTGCCCTGATGCTCCTTGGGTGTCGACAACATATGTTGTCAGCAACCCCTTCAAACTGTTGTGATACATGAGGGTATGTATGTACCATGAGAATCAGAAAGGGTTTGGCAGTGGCTCAACAATCACGTGCATGCCGAAGAAGGCCCGCAGGGTGACAGAAGTGATGGGGAGGTGCTTGTAGGCGGGGGAGAGGCGCCATGAGAACTGCCTGAGGATGTGCGCCAGCACCACCTTTGCTTCCGTGAGGGCGAAGTTGTTGCCGATGCAGATGCGCGGGCCCGAACCAAAGGGTAGGAACGCCTGAGGATGAGAACAGGCTTCATCTGTGCCTTCTGGTATGCGTGGGGTTCGAGGAAGGTATGAGGGAGGACGGGGAAAAGAGGGACGTTATGTATTGAGTACAAGGCACAAAGGATTGAGGTTATGTGCAAGAGGAATATCAGAGGAAAGAATAGGGGGGAAATAAGGTGAAATAAAGGACACAGGCACGCAGACGAGAATCGCGAAGAAAGAAGTAGGGAAAAATAGAAACAGCAACAAAGTAGATGCAGAATGAGGAAGATGAGGCACAGGCAAGAAAGGAGACGGACTGGCGAAGCGATCGGGGTTAAGTCAAGGGCATGCGGGCCCCACAAGCGAGAGTAAGACAGCAAAGGAGGACAATAAGAAGACAAAGAATTGGGCAGAGATGAGGGCAAAGAATTGGGCAAGGAAATGGACTGACTGGCAAAGCGGTCGGGGTCGAAGGCGAGGGCTCGAGGCCCCCAGTAGCGCTGGTCGTAGTGCAATAGAGCAACTGGTATCAGCACGTTCACACCCCGCGGCACGTCGTATGGGCCCAGCCTTACTGCCTGGAGAGAGTGAGGAGGAGAGAGCAAGCAGGAGAGAGTGAGGAGGAGGGGGTGAGGGGAAGATAGTGAGTGGGTGGACGATGAGGCTGAGAGCTTCAGAAAGACGAACTAGAATACGCCCCCCTCCAACCATCTGAACCACCCCCCCCACTAACAAACACGCCGGTGCCAGTCGGGACCCACAGCCCATCTCTAACTGCTGGCATGTGCGGCCCATGTGTACCTGCTGGCATGTGCGGCCCATGTGTACCTGCTGGCATGTGCGGCCCATGTGTACCTGCTGGCATGTGCGGCCCAGGAAGGGGACGGGGGGGAACATGCGCAGGCTCTCCTGCAGCACCATACCCATGTCCCTCAGCGCTGCCACCACCTCCCATGTCACCCGCCCCCCCCCTCCTTGCCCCGCAACTCCCCCTCGCCCCCCTCCTCCTTCTCTCTCGCCTTCCCCTCGCTCTCCTCCCTCCTGTCCACCCCCCGCTCCCTCCCCTCCAGACCCCCCTTGGCTTCTCTCCTCATGTTTTCTTCCACCTGCCTCTGACCCTGCCTCGTCCGCTGCTCCTGCTGCTGTGCTGGCTGTGGGGACTGCTGACGTGCCCTGTGCCCCCTGCTGAGTCAGCGCTTGCTTGAGCTCTGCTCTCAGCCGCTCCTGCCAGTCGGGATGCTTCGCCAGAAGATAGAACGTCCATGTCAGCAGGTGCGCCGTGGTGCTGTGGCCTGCCGTTGGGGGGCAAGGGTGAGAGGGGCACCGAGGAAGATGGGAGGCGACAAGGGAGGACGATGGGAGGCGACGAGGGAGGGGGCGGCAGAAGGAAGATGGGCATTGGTGAAATGGGAAGGGGAGGCAACACGACGCACAGAAGGGAGGCAATGCAGAGAAGATGGTTGAGATGCGAGTGCTGTGAGAAGATGGTTGAGATGCGAGTGCTGTAGGAGGGGAGGGGGGAGGGGGGGAGGGGGGATGGGGGAGGGGGGAGGGGGGAGGGGGGAGGGGAGAAGAAAAGTAGCAGGGAAGCAAAGGGCTGAGTGGAGAGGAGAAGGGAAGAAAACGAACGGGAATTGGGGTAAGATTGAATGTGGGCTTGGGAAGGGCGGGGAATGGAAATGAAGGGAGAGAAGAAAGTATAGCGGGGTGGGCCAGTACCAGCGAGGAAAAACGTGACGCAATCATGGTAAATGGACAGTTTCTGGGACGTCTCAAGAAACGTGAGGCATTCATAGCTTCGGGTTTTTCATCTTCTGTCTGTGATTTACGCTGAGTTGAAAGTGTGTTCCAATGAGCTCGACTGAAAGCACGAGGGTGGTGATGCACGTGATCCGTCATCTGCTCGCGATGACTTCCAGTCGACTTATACGTCATTTTGAGTCGATTCAAAAGGAGCATACCAGCGAGGAGGAAGGTGATGCACTCGTCCATGAGCTGCTGGTCCGTCATCTGCTCGTTGCCTGCCTCGTCATGTGCTGCCAGCATCAACGCCAACAGGTCCCGTGCACCCCGCCCTGCTGCCCCCCCCTGCTGCTCTCCATGTGCTGCCTCCTCCGCACGCACTGCTGCTGCTGCCCGCCTCTTGCCAATCAGGTGCAGGGTCAGGTTGCGGATGCTCCTTCCTGCTGCCCAGAGGGCAAAGTTCTCGGGAATTGGCAAGATGCTGCGATGGGGGGATAGCAAGAGTGCGGAAAGGGAACCAGGAAGTATATTTATCCTCCCATGTCAGCTATACATGCAGAGATAAGACAGGGGATGGAATCAGTGCCTAGACATTTCCCAGTGTATAGACCCAGGCTCGGTACAGAAAGGAATCCACTCTTTCCAAATGTTTTTTCGAAGAAAGGCAATGCACGACAGACACACACGACGAGGCAGATGATGAAGAAAGAGTTGACTTTTGAGTCGACTCAAACGTAACCTCGTTTCCATGGCACACGACACACACGACGAGGCAGATAATGAAGAAAGAGTTCTTCTTTCCTGCCTCCTTTGGTACTTGGAGGGCCCTCAGGAACCTCTTTGTCATGAATGAACGGTGGGTGCATGCACGGTGGGTGGAGGCACGGTGGAGGAACAGCGGGCAGCAGCAGTGTTACTCATAGAAGGGCACGAGGGAGCGCCAGGAAGTGACCCTCTTCGAATCCAGCTCGGCCAGCCTTGACAATGCCTTGTACACCTGCACTGGGTCCGGTGCCCCTACCCCCCCCGCTGCTGCTGTTGCTGGTAGTAATTGTGCTGCTGCCGCTGCGGCCGTATCTGCCTTCACTGCCATGGTTCCACCCTCCTTCCCTAGCCCTTTTTCCTCCCCTTCCCCCCCTTCCTTCCATCTCCTCTCCTCATCGCCCCCCTCGTGCATGACAGCGGAGCCAAAGGCAGCGAGGCCAATCACATCCAGAGCCACGAGAGACATGCTCTCCTGCACGTCCACCTCCATGCACGCTCGCTCCTTATAAGCACGCTCCTCACCCTCCTTATACGCACGCTCGGTATAAGCACCCTCCTGCGCTCCCTCCCTATCCCCCTCCTTGGCACCGGACGTGGCTGATGGCATGCCTTGTCCGGTTGCTTTTGCTGTTGCTGCTGCTTGGCTCTGCTGCTGCAGCTGATGTCGCCACGAGTTTGCCAAAGAGTGGCCCTGGCCATCCATGATTCCCACCATCTCCTGCATGGATCAACGCAGGTCAACGCAGGTCAACCCAGGTCAGCGTGGGCAATATAGGTCAACACAGGTCAACACAGGTCGAAATAAGCCAACGCAGGTCAATGCAGGTCAACAGAGGTCAACACACGTCAAAATAAGTCAATGCAGGTCAGCACAAATCAATGACGATCAGCACAGGTGAATGCAGGTCAACACACGTGACCCAAGCTCAATGCAAACGTGGGTCATGTGCCCACATGGGCCAGTGAGGATAAGCACCGGAAGTAGAAAATCTGCAGGAGCAAGTCAGCAAGCCAACACGTCGACAAGTCAACACATCAGCACGACTAAGAGGCTATCAAGTCAACTCGCCCTGATCGCAGCGGGGCGGAAGGCGGGGTTGATGATGCGGCGCTGCCGCGCCCACAGAGACCCCTCTGAGAGCGGCAGCCCGTTGCCCAGCAGCCTCAGTATCTTGCGCGCCCTCTCTGTCTTGCTGACCCGCCCGCTGCTTGCTAGGAGAAGCTGCCAGGGATGAGACAAGTGGATGGAGGACGACAGAGAGGACAGGTGAGCACTGTAAGGAGGGCCTGCCAGGGAGTGGGGAGATGAAGGGAAGGGATGGATGAGGAGAAGTGACGCGGGGAGGGGAAAACAGGGAGGGAAAAGGTAAGGTGAGAAGAGAGGGGATGTGAGTGGTGGACCCCGGAGCACTGTGTCTTGATTGTGTTCTGCATGCATCTCATGCAAGCGCATTTCATGCAATCACATTTCATGCAATCACATTTCATGCAATCAAATCTCATGCAATCACATCTCATCACATCGCATCGCATCACGTCAGGCAAATCACATCATATCGAATCACAGCATCGCCACATGACTGTACCTGCCTCACTAGTGCAGGATCCGTTACAACCAGTTGCACCGTGGCCCCTACAGTGAACCCGAACACGTCCCCATACTGCTCGCGCCACTGGTGCAGCCGCGGAAGCAACACAGCAGGGCCGTGGGTGGAGGGGGGAGAGTCGGGGGAGGGGGACGCGGAGGAGGGGGAGGCGGAGGGGGAGGAGGAGGCGGGAGAGGGGGTTTGGTTTTGGGACGGTGGGGCAGAGAGAGGGGTGCGACGGTAGAGGTCGAGCGCTTGACCAATGAGAGGCCTGGAGTGCATGGGAGGACGGGATGTCAAGAAGGCATCATGTGAGGAGGGACATGGGGGTGGGGGCTGGGGGAGTTGTCTCAGAAGAATGGAGGGGTGGGAGAGTTCTGAGTCGCCTCAGAAGCGGGAGATGGGGAGTGCGGTGAGGGGAAGGGAGAATAGCGGTTCGAGATTGGGGTAAGGGAGGTGAGGCGCGAATGTGCCTGGATTCTTTAAGGGGCTTAAATAACGAGAATAAGTGTGCCTCCAACAGCAGAAATTAACGATATGGTATTCTGGAGGAAACTTCTACTACGATGCAGCGGAATGGCTCGAATAAGCCTTAGATGTACGCGGCTTGAGCAGAATGAATGGGATGTATTCGTTCTTGAAACGGCAAGTACGAAATGCTTTTCTTGAACATGCGGAAGAAAAGGGCCTTACTTAGAGGCGGGAACGGAATGCCTTACTTGAACGGCAGGAAGGGAATGCCTTGCTTCTTGCACAGGCGGACTATGCGGTACGGCACATACACAAGGCGATACGCGAGGAACAGCGTTCCGGCTGCTAATCCAGCCCACGGAACGAAGGCTAACCACCAGGGAACTTGGTGCTGCCACGTGGCACCATCCTGCCACGTTACAGTGCTAGACTCAGACAGTAAGGTCATGTGGAACAGCAGGAATTTCTGATTACAGATTACGATAAAGAGCAGTAGAGGTAAGTATATGCTAAATCCACTCGAGGAACAAAGGACTCCCAAGTGAGCACCCGAAATTTACACATTTTGGACGGTGTAGTCGAATTCCTTCCAACGCCAACGTTTTCCCGCCCCAGCATTCCAGCCAAGGTCTGGAATCTGACACGGGAATCTCCAAGGTGGACATCTGACGGCCAGAATTCGAGTACAGCTTCGGATGCGCTGTCTGAAGAGTTCCGAGCCAGAGCGACCCAGGCAGTTAAATTCAGGTTTGGTTCGACTTACGTTCGAAATATCTTTCGCTTTGGCTTTTCGGGTTTCGTGTTGAATTTCGCATGTGCAGACTGTAACGACAAGAATTGGGTTCGCGAAATGTGGCGATCTGAGAGTCTGCCTGTGCAGAACTGTCGAGGGGCACGAGTGGAGTTGCGATGCGTGGAAGGCGAACCCTAAAATCGGCAAACCAGCAAAGCAACAATCGTGGAAGAGCGGATTCGACGCACTCGCACTACGAAAGGGGGAACTTTCCACATTCGGATTAGTGTAATCCGGGGCCTTAGGGTGCGAGGGGGGAATCGGTGACAGGGGCCTCGACGAAAGCGTGCGACGTCGCTGCTCACAAGGCCCCTGTCGGCGCCTCGGTTTGTTACAGCTTGGAAACTACCTAGCGAAATATGTAACAGAAAGGCGTGCGACGTCGCTGCTCACAAGGGCGCCGTAGGCGACTCGTGAGAGGGCTTCGGCGTTGTATTATGAGCAGCGCTCTCGCCGCGCCCGCGTTCTCTCGCCGCGCATCCCATAGCTCTGCGCTGCACCTGCAGCTAAGTTAGCTCGTCACGATCGCACTCTTACTACAGAAAACTCGCACTACTACCACTCCTCTCCCCTCAAACATGTTGTCACTCGCGCCCTCTGCAGCTCGGCTTGCCCGCTTTCTCACACTCGGCTTGCCCGCTTTCTCACACTCGGCTTGCCCCCTTTCTCACACACGGCGGCCCGCCGAAGTCCATTCGAGCCCGTCGCTCCCTACCCTCCCTTCTCTTCTATTTTTTTCCATTCTCTTCCCGATCGTTCTCTTTCGTCCATTCCCTTCCAGCTCGTTCAACAAAAATGAGAGTGGAACAACAGAGCAGAGAGGACACAGCTGGAACCGGGATGAGGTTGGGGAATGGGGTTGAGGATGGAAGGTCACAGTATACAGCGTCAGCATCACATGCTGTGCTTAGCTGACTCGTTCTATTTGTGCAGAATCAAAGAAAGTCGCACCAGAATCGATACGCATGCAACCTTGATCCTATGAATCTCGGTCCTCAGCAACTGAAGCAGCTTCTTGGCAGCCAGCAAGTGGCAGTGGAGGCGTCCGAGTAGGCGTGAGAAGGAGATGCCCATGCACCAGAGGACAAGCGCGAACGTGGTACACACCATGTATGCGTGAATCAACTGACACAAGATTGGGGGGGAGGGGGGGTTGGAGGGAAGAACGGTAGGTTCGGCGGGGGTTGGAGGATTGTAAAAAGTCACAGAAGAATCAAGGCTGACTGGAGGGCAAAGCGAAAAGGAAGCGAGGGAAGACGCCAGCAATATAAGGCAATCAAAGGAGATCACATAGAGGGTGGACGGCAGGAGAGTAGTAAAAGTGGCTATGGTAGTGAAAAGAAGACGTTACAACCTGTCCGTATCTCCCCGTATCTCCGTATTTCCAGTTCCATTATTTTTCCCCCTTACCATCAGGTACGCTTTGGCAGCAACAGCATCCTTTCCCAGCTCCGCAATTGCACCACCCACTGCAAAGGCGTTGCGCTCGCCCATGCCAGCAGCCAAAGCCTCGCCAACGGCCATAAGATGCTTCATTATACTCATGCTATTTACGGTCTAGTCACCCCCTTTTCAATCACGCCTCACTGATAAAAGAAATCAGTGGTAACAGTTTGACAATCGGGATTCCGAAAATGCTGGAAGCGGGAAAAGAGGAAGAATATCTGAGAATCTGTTCGTGAAAGCCAAGAGGTTTAGCAGACGATGCATATTTATGAGATCCATGAAAAAATCAACTCCATGAGCGCATCACGAGCACGAGTGGAGGGAGCATGCGCGGAGCGAGCATGCGGGGAACGGAGCTAGCATGAGCGGAACGAGTATGAGCGCGAGCATGCGCGGAACGAGGATGAGCGGAACGAGCATGAGCGGAAACGAGCATGAGAGGAACGAGCATGAGCGGAACGAGCATGAGCGGAACGAGCATGAGCGGAACGAGCATGAGTGGAACGAGCATGAGCGGAAACGAGCATGAGCGGAACGAGCATGAGCGGAACGAGCATGAGCGGAACGAGCATGAGCGGAACGAGCATGAGCGGAACGAGCATAACGAACGACTCGGCGCGGCGCGAGCCGTACCTTGACCGTTGCATGCCGTCAGATCGAGGCTACCTGTGGAGGCTCTGGCTAGCGGTACGAGAGGCAACGCTATGCCATGACCCAAGGCAGTCACGAAGAAGCCAGGAGTAGACTGCCGCATGGAACGAATCGTCCCAAGGCATGCACGAAGTGGAACTGGTTTTTTCCATGGCGCGAGTGCCGGCGAGGGTTGACAAGGCGCGAGCATGGAGCTAGTAGTGACAGCAGAAATGCTCGCGATGGTGGTTTTGCGAGCGACGCTCTGACATGCGACGAGAGACTTTTGGCGTTTGGGACTTTGACACATGGCAGAAAGCGAGAGGAGGCGCATGAAGTCCTAGCGGAAGTAGGCTGTGGCTTGGCGTCGCATTAGGACAGAGACGCTTCGTAGTCTCTCATTCACGTACATCATACGGTATTGTTCTACTCGCTACACGCCTTACCGAACAAGTATCATGAGTCAAGACACAAGCTTACCGTAGAATGTGTTTTTTGGTACATTCCTGAGGTCGCATCTATTGCCCTGAAGATGTGTACCAAATACTGTTACAGTCATGCTTTTTCCACATTGGAAAATAACACCATCTTTCATTTATTGCATCCGAAATACGTAGGTAACAAGAGGGCAACACCGAGGTGGTGCCATTATAACCCCCCTGAACAACTCTGCTTACTCCTTCTCCCCACCTTTTCATCCCTAACACATCCTTCAACCGACTCACCAGCATCTTTCCCAAACCTATCCATTCATTTCCCCATCCCCTTAGCCACTCTCTCTCCCCACTCCCCCACCCCTTCAAACGCCTCATAAGCATCTTTTCCTAACTTATCTATCCTTTTCCCCATCCCCTCCATCACTCCCCCCCCCACTCTCCTACTCCTTCCATACTTGCTTTAACCTCTTCTGCCTTACCTTCTCCCCATCGGTTCCCTCCCCCATCCCTTTGACCGCCTCCACATTACTCTCCCCCCACTTACTCATCCCTTCCATATGCTCTTGTACCGCCTTCCCATAACTCTCCTCCCACGCCGTCACAGCCTTGCCCACATCCTCTCCCCATGCCTTCATCACCGGCCCATACCCTCCAGCTCTCCTTTGAACGCCTCCGCCACAGACTCACTGGACTGACAGAGGAGTTGGAGGAGGTGGTGCGCGATGGGGAGGAGTAGTGGGAGATGCAGGAGGAGCTGAACCACGTAATGTGACTCAGGAGGGGTGAAGTTGAGATCTATAACAAGTAGTCCATGCTCAGTGATAGCGACTCGTTGAAAAGGGAATGACCCAAATCTCTCGATGAGTTGCCTTTGTCGAACTATATACTTGTTGTTTATGCAGTAGTGGGGTACCTTGTATAGGGTACAACTATTGTTAGGGTTGGTACTTGTGTCCCTCCCCTTTGATAGGTGATCATTCCGCTGTTCTTGTTTCGACATGGTTTCAGAGCAGGTCCCGACATAGGACCGGAAATATTTTGTTTTAGGGCCCACCGTTAGCTCTGCCCTAGGTGCTGCTGCCGTCACGCGCTGCCCTGCCCTGTCCCGCACTGTCCCGCTGCCCTGCCCTGCGCTCGCGCTGCCCTGCCCTGCGCTCGCGCCGTGCCCTGCCCTGCCCAGCCCGCGCGCTGTCGCGCTGCCTGCCCTGCCCCGCGCGCTGTTGCGCTGCCTAGCCGCCGCCCGCGCCACCCTGCTGCGTGGCCGCCGCTCAGCCCTGCCCGCGCTGCCCCGCGCGCCCTGCCCTGCCACGCGACCCCGCACGCGCTGCCCGCGCTGCCCCACGCACCCTGCCCTGCCGCGCGGCCCCACGCACGCTGCCCCGCGCGCGCTGCTGCACTGCCCCACGCTGCCGCTCGCGCTGCCGCTAGCAACCGCCCGCCGCTGCCCTGCCCTGCCGCGCGCCCGCTCTGCCCCGCCGAGCCGCCCTGACGATC